TGTATATTAATTTGTAAAATTATTTTTCATATTTGTATTGCAGAATCTGAAATTTATGTACATTGATATGTGAAATATGTTCTTGTACTTGTGTTGAAAGTTCTGAAGTGTATGTATTTTGTATGAAATGACATGTTCTACATACTTTGGTTGAGTCCTAAGAAGGATCAATGGAATGTAAATAAACTCTACTCTACTCTACTCTACTCTACTCACAGTAAGACACTGGACTCTAATCATTGGGTCCTGGTTTCAATCCTTTGTCTGATGTATGTTTGGATTTTTATACTCACAGACTTCAGCCTTCACCTTTGCCAAAGATAAAACTCTAGGAAAGAGGAATATACTGGGCCTCCACAGTGGTTCAGAGCCATCTTAAAATATAGGTTTCTTCTGCCATCTGTCATCTTCATGATCAACTTACCATCAGGAGTAACAGCATTCTACCTGTTCGTGTTCCCACTTCAGAAACCTTTCCACACCTTATTACATAACAATCTCAATTCTTCCAGTACTTCAGCTGGTGTAATTACAAATATTATCAGCATTTTATGGTCAGAAACCTCTAGTTTCTATTCTCAGAATGTGAAACCATGTTTTACACCATATGAAGAATAGTTGAAGAATCATAAAATACCTACTATATCCCCAGTGCCTTCTCATGTTTCTTCTTCATTATTAAACCTAGTAGTCATAATGATTTTGAAAGGATGTGAAAGTAAGCAGCCATGGTATAATTTAAAGTACTATCCTGTAATTTTCCTGTAAGGACTGCATAAAATCATGAAAGCTTGTCAGAATAGCTGATCTCCAGGACAGGAATTAACCTGGAACCTCTGAAATACAAGGCATGAGTGCTTACTACCAGACCACAACATTTTGTAGACTTAGATACATCAAATATATCTGTTGTCTGAAACATCCAATGATTGGTTTTCTGTATCACTTAATTTTAGATTTGAATCTTCCTAATTTAAAACCAACCCACGGTTAATAGAACCTGAAGTTTGAATATCACTAATACAAAAACTTGCCATTAGACAAAGTCCCAAGCCAGTTAAATTTACTTACATCCTTAAAATCTATTTTCCAGATACCCATTTTAATATGTATGCATTTCGTGCTTCCCTAATCTTGGCTACATATTCAAATTGTCTTGATTTGACATCCCTAATGAACCCTATACAGTTCCTTGTTATGTGATACTTTCCATTTTCTTAGGTCCATGTAATATAATGAGCACTTTGTTTTGTAATTTGTTTTGTATTGAGGCTATTAGACCAATGTTCCAGTACTCGTACAAGATTTTTTCACATGGCGAAGCAATAGTGGGTCTCTGTAACATACTCATCACACAGCTGCAGAAATTGGCAGCACTTTCATCACCAGATATATTGCAGCGTTACTGTGCAGTCTTGGTGGATGCCTTGACATTTGGACCAGTTCATCGACGGGATCGGAGGTTAGTTATCAAATATACTTCTGTGTGTGTTTTGTTTTAAAAATATCTAAAACTATATGATGTTTTCTATAGATTTGACACATGGCCACTTATTGTGTGGGGAGAACGTGTGAGTAGTGAAAGTAGGCCAGAAGGTCAGTAAGACAATATATGCCAGAAGTGCACAATAGTATGAATTATTTTAGATTGTAAGATTTATTTTTCAATTATGACAACTTACACTGCACCACTTAACAGTAATATTGAGATTTATTTTGTTTAGATTATTCTGGAAGGTACTAGTGATGACATCAGACACCCAAATAATGGGGACAGAGATGGTCTGAAACATTGGCAGGTTTTAACCATGTGACATGGCTGCTAGACCATGAGGATCTTATTAATACTAGTGATGAGTCTGGAGTTAAGGAGTATATATCTTACTTTACATGAACTAATGCTAACAGATTAAACTAATTGTTGCTAATTGTGAATGAGACTATTGTTATGAACAGTATTCTGATGGATATACAATGTTCTCTGACCACAGCAGATCTTCTGTTTATCTGTGATGTTAGACCTTCCTGTACTGAGTAGAATTCTATAACCTGTGTGAAATTGTAGTTAGGTAAAGGTTTCCACATTAAAGTGAGCTTCATGGAAAAAATAAATTACATTATGCCTACTGTAAACAACTGTTGATATCTTTATGATTGTAAGACTTGAGGTTCTCACAGCGGTGAGTATGAAGATATCCATCTTCTGGGTTATTGCGCTGTGTAGTCTGGTCGATGTTAGCCAACGTTTCAGAGGTCTTATGATTATGTAATAAACTAATGTAAGAAGCAAATAGAAATTTGACAGGGGATGTCTTCCTTTGTGTATATTTATCCCTCACCCTACTTTTACAGAAAGGTTATATTGCTTCTTTCTAGTTTGTATTGATATTACATTATTGTGGTATGTGTGCCATTTGTTGTGCAGGATTATCACTGATACATGCCGGTTCATCTCTTCACTTGGAAAACAGTGTTCCATCAATGATCTTGCTTCCAAGTAAGTATCCTGGAACATGTTGAGTAAGTCATTTCCTTGTGTATAATAATTATTTACAGGTGCCTACATTTTTATTACTATTAATTACATGTTGTTGCTAGTTTAATTAATTTTTTGTTACATTTAGGTGAAAGTTGATATAGTTCGACGTTTTTAGTGTCATGTGTTGGACATTTTATATGGGTGAAATTCTTTTGACAGAATGAATAATGCATGTGAAAAGACTGGACAAATATGGGATAGTCATGGATAGAGAATTGATTGGGTCAGACAAGGAAGTGTATTATCACCTATATTGTTTCATGCCATAATGAACAAAATCTTTAATGGAATCAGAGAAAAAATAAAAGAAATGGATTCAGAAGCTTTTATTGAATACACAGATTATATCACAATATCGGTGAAGACATGGCTTGAGACAAGACTAAGCCATTGAGAAAGGGTAAGCAAGGAATAGAGACGAAATTCACTTGGAGAAGACGGTAATGTTAAAACCCCCAACAAAATAGGGAAGAAACACAGTAATGGAAATATAAGAAGTGGAAAATGTATCTACTTTTGAAATGTGGAGGAGAAAAGTGGTAAGATTTATTCTTTGTAAGACGGAGAATGTGTGGTTGTACAAGAACAGTGTCATGTGTCTTG